TCGCATCTCCCATCTCCCATCTCTTGCATGATTGCAACGGAATTCTTGTGATTGGGAGAGTGATCATCGAGATATGGGGACCAATCCTTCTGATAAAATTGGACAAATTTTGGAGCCAGGAATTCTTGAACTGTCCATCCTCGCGTGTTCAAAGCGCTGCTTGCGAGTGCCCCAGGCTGCGACGAATGTGGAACATCCGACAGGTAGATGATGGTAAGCAATGAGTGGCGATACCAGATAAACATTGAATTGACCGATTGCTGGACCTCGACATTGTTAGTCTGGTCGATGCAACAGGTATCAATCCATGCCCAGAGATACCCTTTATCACGAGCAGTTTCACAGAATGACTGCAACTTCGGGATGCCGCCAACTGGATCTAAGTCGTATACCACCTTGCCCTGGATGTCATGCAGCAACGGCTCCTTCTCTTCCCACCTATGCGATAGCATGACATAACGGAAGTACATCGCCACAACATCTTTTATACGCTTCACTTGGAGATTTATGTGCACCAATAATGTTGATGACAAAAGCTCCTTGTACTCTGTGCTTGTTTTGAAGGCATCGATCTGTACCTCTCGATCACATATGCGCCCAGTAAAGGTATTAAGCAGACGATGCGGGGCGTCATCGAGTTGAGCCTTGATGGCCTCTTTAATAGCTGCTTCTACTTCGGATGGACTAACGTACTGTTGGCGCAAGTCTAGATAAAGAGTCAACAATGTTGAAGGACGTGCTATTTGGGGCGTACTTGTTTCTGTGTTAGGAACTTTTCTCAACTTGGAGAGCATGATTTTGAACGCCTCGATGGCTTCATCATATCGGTGTGCGCCATGAAGCACCGCATGCTTCAACTGATATCCAAAGTAAGATGAGGGGCTGAGTTCGATGACCTGCGTATCACCAAAATGAGCGTCTACTACGAAACAGCAACTGTTATCGCACCTTTTCCGCATCAAGGAGTGCATTGTCCCATAGCATTTTTCCCGACCTTGCCTTACCGCGGTTGGCAAAGATGGTATCTGTTACGAAATCGAGGTCAATTGCCGCAGAGTAAAGCTTGATAGCCCTGTCATAGTTACCCATAGCAAGGGCATCATCTCCGCTTGCAGCGAGGTCAGTTACTCCAGCAGCAGCATAGGCCACGCTGCAATCTTGCTTGAAAGCTAAGTGAAATGGGGTTCAGAATCATACCAGTTAACATTGCGAAGACTTGCCAGTGGACCAATCAAGGCAATGTGTTTTTGTAGCCTCATCAGCCCTATCCATCATGTATCGGTATGCTTTGATGGCATCTGGAAGTCTACCTGCATGAAGGAGCGCATGACACCAATTCTGGTGTGCAGTTCGCCACAAGGACTCAAGGTCCCACCTGAATAACTAGAAAAGCACAGTAGGGCATGAAAAACAACTTCCAGTTGCATTCCTATGCACCTACCACCACGAAGATATCATATTTAGAATAGATGTCCGACATAGATGAGAAACTGATAGCGTTGACAATGGAAGTGAAGTGGCCAGCAGCTTCATTGTGGCGTGCGTCGTCTAATGCATTCATTCCCACTTGGATGTGTAGATAAGCCTGGAGTGCGAGGTTCGCAAAATCAGTATCGACACATGAATCTGGAGTTCACTGTATCAGGAGCACTCACTTCCACGATACCACATGCAAGAGAATTCGGGTCGGGACGAGTAGTAGCTAGTTCTTGGACGCGCAGAATTGCCTCATCATGTTGATTTGCATTGAAAGGGGCAACAGCCTGATAACTGTCGTGAAAGTAGTGCGTACATCAGACACAATTGACATACCTTAATCAAGAGTACAAGATGAGTTTTATTCAAGTCTGCGTCTACGTACATGAACACGACATCAAATGCTTTCATCGCATCCTGGAACTGCTTTTTACCACAGAGGGCGATGCCCTTGGAGATACAGCCCGTCAAGGAGGGCTGGATACTGATGCTCTTTATCGCCATATATGTTAGCCTGTGTTGAAAAGGTCATAACAGGACAGTGTATCCCACCCTAAGTGCGTCATCAAGTGCGCAGTCCCAGTCTGAATATCTTGACTTGATGAGCGAGCGATTCGCATAAGAGTTGTAGTCGTTGTCATCAGCGCCGATATCTTGTGTTAACAGCCTGTCAGCAGTGGGAAAGTCGCCGGTTATGCATGCATCAAGGGCTGTCGTGTTGATGGTGAGGATCTGCATCACGCATAATTAGATTACATGGTAAGAGTGAAGGCTGGAAACACGCCTTGCAATCAGACTGTTGAGCCTTGGCATCAAGATTGAGGATCAATATGGAAGAAGACGGGAACTCACATTGTCTGCCACTTGTTCCTCCGAAGTGTCTTCCCTTAACGCATACTTGGAGAAAATGAGATGAAGAAAGGACAGAAATGAACAGAATCTTACATCTGATGCTCGGTCCTTCAGAATGTCCTCAAGAACAGGTACTGCCCACTTTGAGATCATCCTATCTGCTCCTCCACTCAGGATGTGCCTGCCATTCCTGGAGAAGGCGACACAATACATTGCACTTGGGTGCTTGAGTATGGCGATGGTTCTTCGATCCGAAAGCCACCAAAGGCGAGCCTGGTGGTCTTCGGATACGGACGCAAGAAGGGTGCCAGTAGGGTTCAAGGCAATCATGTAGACAGTGTCAGTATGGCCCTTCCAGGGCTCACTGACCTGCATCCAGGTCGATGAATCCCAGATTCGTATGGTGGGATCACAAATATTACCAGCCGAGACAAGCTGTTTGCCATCAGACGTCCACGCGAGTGAAACATTAAATGCTCCATTGGACACAGAGTGACCCCAGAACTTCGCGACGCATTCCCTGCCTGGATTCCATATTTGGATATCCTTCAATGTTGCGATGTTTTTGTGCTCCAGAGTTCCGCTGTGGTGTCAATTGAGCCACTCGCCAGCAACGTGCTGTCTGGGGAGAAATCAAGCGACAATATCCATTCAAAGTGGACTTTGATGGGCTGAGTGAGAGGTCCGCCGTCTCTGTTCCAGGCGATGAGTTCTCCACCATCATCACCGCTTGCTATGAATTGCCCGTCTCTTGATACTGCAACTTTTCATACGCAGAAGTGATGGCCCTCCATTATCTTCAATACAACACCGTCTTCCAAGTCCCACAGACGAAGTGTCTTGTCACCCAAAGCCGTCACCATACGGCGTCTATCGGGAAAGACTGCGGCTGCCAAAACACTATTTCCATGACCTTTAAATGTTCGACTAGCCGTGGTGATTCGAATGGTGGCCCGGGGTTGTTCTGCTTCCGCCATTCTCCTCGAGTATTGAGCACAACTTGATGAAGAGCTTGTAGGTGTCTTGATCTAAGTTTCATGGGTGTGTATATTGGGCCTTTTGGTGCCTCTTCACAGCCTCAACCTGCTTCATGTATCACTGTCATATACCATATATCCGGTTACAGATCCGATCCAGATCCGATGAACATATCCGTCGTCCGGTCCACAGATCCGCTTTGATTCTTATTTCATTTCCTGTTCATATAACTCTAACTATCGTTCATCTCCTTTCGGTATTCCTGTACACCGGTATACCGGTTATCCTTTACTTCCGCTTTGCTTACTTATCCGCTATGCTTACTGATCCGCTACACTTACGAATCCGCTTTTACTTGTACTTCATTCCCGGTTCATGATTCGTGATCCATCCAACTTACCAATACGCTCCACTTAGACTTTGCTTATACTTTCGTACATAGCCTCGCACCTTTGCTTATGGATCATTCCGTTAGCTATCCGTAGTATATAAACCTTTGTATATGCGCTGTAGTAGATCAGTTCGAATATCATCTTAGATTGCACTCATTCCGTCTGGACTCTAAGTCCCTCCGTTATCCATCCGGACTTGAGTACGCTACTCTTGTCTACTCCGAGACTTAGGATAGATTCCTATAGTCTACATATCCGCCTCTGTCTTCGGACAGTCCTCACCTGTTAGTTTCTAGTCCGGATCCGATCCAGATTAGCTGTTACTCTATACGTTCGATATCCGGAAGTCTTAACGGATCCATTGCAATACTTATCCGTTGCAATACAAGACTTATCCGTTACGATACTTATCCGTCTCACTAGACGCGATACTTTAGCTCTCTGAAATAAGGGGAAAGACTCGGGAAAGGGGCACAGCGCACGAGCTGAGGCCGAAGCCCTTCGGATCCGATACTACTTGAGTACGGTCTTAACAATCACCAGGGCTGCTCAATATTGAGGCCCCGCTCAACAACTGAGTCCGCTTTGTTTTTTAAGCAGGTCGAGAATGCAATGGATGGCCCTGATAGTAGACATTAGTTTCTAAACTTGTGAATAATAGATATGGTGGACTCTGGAGCACTTGTGAGAGTACTGGGACTGCGCTGAAACCGTTCCTCAAGATGGCACTGGGGTAAGCCAGTTACAGGTATAAAGATATTGCAAGCTGTTCATCCACCGAAACATATCTTGTGTCATGAAGGCCATGCTTGAAATACATGTTTGTTCATTCCCATTGCATCGTGAAAGATTAGAAGCTCGTTCAACCATTATGGCAATGTGAGCTGTCACCAAATGACATTGCTTAATGTTTGGCAGATGCCTGGCATTCGTCAACACCGACAAATAACACGCACTCCATTCTGTTGATCATCAAAATTTGTTTCAATGGTGAAGGAGAAACTATATATTGCTAGCGGCCCAGGTAACTTTTGTTTGAATAGTGGGAATGTGAGCTGATATAGATACATTCAGCTAATACTTGTAATAGCGCTAGCTGCTCCAGGCTGATGCGGCTTGAGATCTGAGAATCTGGCGAGTATGCACACATCTAATAAGATTGCTCAAATCTTCGGAAGAATTGAGCAGCCCTATCAGACGCCCAGGACATGCCTGAGGCCCGAAACCTATATCTATGTAATATGCAACCATGGAACTATAAATTCAGGGCCAGCCTCGCTCTCTTCATCTAGCTAGTTCACCATGTCCATCCTTCCATTCGATTCCACGGCCTACTCCACCTACATCAGAGAATCGAGATCCTGGACATATAGTCAGATAATCGGCACCACTCCTGCTGGAAAGACTGGGTCGCAGGCGAATCTGCAGGGTGGGAAGTCTATAATACAGCAGAAACAAACAAGGCGTACGTACTCCTTGACTTGTTGTTCAGCCGCAAGCGTGATCGCGATCGACAGTGATATCCAAGGCGATATCTACAAGCTTTTGATTTCAGGCATAGTACCATGCCCCATCACATTCGTGTTCACAATTGATGAAGAGGACATAGAGGACCTGAGACCGTTCATGTAAGGCGCACCTCCATCATCTAACGCGCTCTGCACGATTAGTTGGCTTGCATCCACCAGTTGGTTTAACATAGTAAGAAATACACAAATGCATGTCTCTTTATCGGTTCAATAACCTCTTCCCATAGGTCACGAACTACCCACCTATCATCACATTCTCATGCAACCACAGCGCTTTGGGCCGCCTCAAAGACAAAAATTGTGAACTTGAAGAACAGCCAAGGATTCACCGTGAACATCATCAGCGAGCTATTCGTTGAGAATGCAAATGCAACTGCCATAGATGACTTCGACGAGTGGACTATTAGCGGTTTGACAAAGGAAAAATGCATATGCATGCACCTTTATGACACGATATATGCGCTACCAACCAGGTGTTCAGGTGCAAATAAAAGCCTCCCATGTCAAGGAAAGCGCTTTTAGCATGGAGTGCAAGGTAATTTCATTTCATGCCGAGTTGGCTCGCTCACTAATCATGCCACCTCCCAACAGCTCTACAAATTCATAGATATCACCCACCCAGTCACAGGCGAGCATATAAGCATGCATCCTCGCGCACGTCAAATACATCCACATGTGCAAAGACGTGCTCACAGGCAAAGGTGTCATCGACCTCACAGAGTCAAGTCTGTCGCGCAATTAGGCGACATCTCATATTCCAGCGTTAGAGATGCATATAGGATCACCTACATGCTAAATACTACACATATGCCATACCTGCACCAATTGTGACAACAGCCTAGGATCCATCCAAGTCGTACTACACGTTGTCATGTGTCGGCATGACACTCTTGCGAAAGTAATTCGAGCTTGACAAAGCTTTTGACAAGTCATTAACATCAAAGGCAAAGATGGTGGTACTTATTACTACCACCAGGAAATGATGAGAATGGCACATTTAATCCCTGTCGTTGTATGTAGCTATACAGAATGTGATTGCGATTGCGAAATCTGCATGACGGACGCAAGCACATCAATCTCATACATCTTATTGGTGATGGGAAGTTAACTTTTTTGCATTCAACAAAGCCCTCCTCCCATCGACGTGGGAGAAGGGGGTAAGATATCGTACATAAATGATTGCAGTAAAGGTATTAAGCAGACAATGCAGGGCATCGCCGAGTTGAGCCTTCATGATCTCTTGAATGACTCCGACTAGAGTACTTCGGATGGATTGACGTATTGTTGGCGCAAGCTTGGACAAAGAGCTAACAATGTTGAAGGATGTACTATTTGGGGCGTACTGTGTTTGCGTGTCAGGAGCATTTTCTAACTTGTAGAGCATGATTTTAAACAACTTGATGGCTTCATCATATCGATGCGCGCCATGAAGCGCCACATGCTTCGATTGATATCCAAAATAAGATGAGGAGCTGAGTTCGATGACCTGCATATCATCAAAATGAGCGTCGAATACGAAACGGTAACTGTCATCGCACCTTTTCCGCATCGAGGAGTGCATCATACCATAGCATTTTCTTCGATCTCGCCTCACTGCGGTTCGCAAAGATGGTGTCGGTTGCAAAATCGAGGTCAATCACCGCAGAGTAAAGCTCGATAGCCCTGTCGTAATTACCCGCAGTGAGGGCAATATCTCCGCTCGCAGCGAGGTCAGTCACTCCGGCAGCAGCATAGAGCATGCTGCAATCTTGCTTGAAAGCTAGGTGAAATAGAGTTGAGAATTATACCCAGTTGACATCACGAAGACTTGCAAGTGGACCAATCAAGACAGCGTGCTTTTGTAGCCTCGTCAGCCCTATCCATCATGTATCGATATGCTTTGATGGCTCCTGGAATTCTACCTGCCCGAAGGAGCGCATGACACCAATTTTGGTGTGCAGTTCATCAACGATGGCGTTCAGTGCTGCTGGTAAAGAAATCTCTTGATGTCGACATATGGGCGGGAAATAGTTAGACGAAATAAAGAACAGCCATTGTTAAGGCGCGTGTATGGAATTTCGTAGTTTAGATAATACACAGCATGTGCTTGGGACTGCGATCGTGACTTTTGGATTGTTCAAAGTAGAAACTGCAGGTGACAGGCTTGGAAGGACACTATGGGATGTGAGTCTTCCAACACTCGGTTCAGAAGACGGAGGATGAATCGTCATGGATACATATACTCTGAGATCGCAATACTTGATGTAATAGTCATACCCGTCGCACTGCGTCGAGCGGTACACGCAGGCGCCTTTATGCTTGCCATAGTCTTTCTCAAGGATCAGCTCGCCGCATTGCACTTTAGAACACGGGATCTCCTCGACTTACTAAGTGACATTCTTGATGTGAGCTGTCTCGGAATGTCTGCGTGCATCCAGAGACTCGGCCATGGCCTTCGATAATGAGTTCGTCGATGAACTGAGACTCTGTTGCATGTTATGATTTCACGTACATTTGACCTGTCTCACTCGCATCTTCAAGTTTCATGATGGGATTCGCTGGTGATGTATCGTCGAGGGAAAGCGAGAAGCTGGCAATGGGACATTGTGGGGAGTGTTGTATGGATACAGTTATGTAATCGTGACAGAATGTACGCGAGCGGGCAAGGCTTGTAAATGGGAAACTTGACGATAAGTATGTTAGAACTGAAAAGAGAAGGTAACCCACTGAGATCTATGCTGCCTATGCCTTGGCCTATGCAGCCAGTGACAGTGTTAAGACCGTACTCAAGTAGTATCGGATCCGAAGGGCTTCGGCCTCAGCTCGTGCGCTGTGCCCCTTTCCCGAGTCTTGCCCCTTATTTCAGAGAGCTAAAGTATCGCGTCTAGTGAAACGGATAAGTATTGCAATGGATCCGTTAAGACTTCCGGATATCGAACGTATAGAGTAACGGCCAATCCGGATCAGATCCGGACTAGAAACTAACGGGTGAGGACTGTCCGAAGACAGAGGCGGATATGTAGACTTATAGGAATCTATCCTAAGTCTCAGAGTAGACAAGAGTAGCGTACTCAAGTCCGGATGGATAACGGAGGGACTCAGAGTCCAGACGGAATGAGTGCAATCTAAGATGATATTCGAACTGATCTACTACAGCGCATATACAAAGGTTTATATACTACGGATAGCTAACGGAATGATCAATAAGCAAAGTCTAAGTGGAGTGTATTGGTAAGTTGGATGGATCACGAATCATGAACCGGGAATGAAGTACAAGTAAAAGCGGATTCGTAAGTGTAGCAGATCAGTAAGCATAGCGGATCAGTAAGCATAGCGGAAGTAAAGGATAACCGGTATACCGGTGTACAGGAATACCGAAAGGAGATGAACGATAGTTAGAGTTATATGAACAGGAAATGAAATAAGAATCAAAGCGGATCTGTGGACCGGACGACGGATATGTTCATCGGATCTGGATCGGATCTGAGATCCAGATCATCGGATCTGTAACCGGATATATGGTATATGACAGTATCCCCCCCTTAGGGCCGATCCCTAGAGGCACAAGAATCAGTGATCCGGAACGGATGGTATGAGTGCGAGACAATGGAGAAGCTGATGGGAGAAGTTGCTGAGTTCGGATTCTGACAGATATACGGATGCCAAAGCGTCGCAGGGTGTTCCTTCCTTTCCCTACTTTTTCACTACCACTAGCTTATCTCAACCATGACTGATAACGGATCCGGCTCTAAGAAGACCGCTAAGCAGACTCTGGCGGATATCCAGGCCGCGCTGGCTGCTGCTGAGGCCGAGGTTCAGAAGGAGGAAGAGGCTGAAAAGCTGAAGCAACAAGCGGAAGAGGCGGAACGGAAGCGCTTGGCAGGGATTAAGAAGATTGAACGGGCTGAGGCCCGAAGGGAAGCGGAGGAGGCTAGGCGCAGGGCTATAGTAGCGGAAATGGTGAGTTATGACTTGTTCTATCGGATCCGTCCCTTATCGGATCCGTAGTCTCGCGCCATCTCAGCGGATAAGGATGGGGCTTGTACCCGCTGCGCTAAGAAGGGTCGGGCCTGTCTGTGGTCCGATGCGGATAGCAATTCCTTGGTAAGTCATCCTTGAATCTTCGGATCCGTGACTCTTAACATTCGGATAGATCAAGGCTTGTAACGCGTGCCGGAAGGACAAGGCTCCTTGTCCCGGACGACCTGGAACCGTTACGGATTCCAAGTCTAAGAAGAGGCAGCGCGCTGCTGAGAACCCATCTCCAAGAGGCAAGGGTAAGAAGCGCCAGCAGAGTCCGACTCCGGATCCGGATATGAAGACGGTAGTAGCGGATGAGGTGGAAGTGGAGTATGATGATCAGGCCTGGGTCGCGGCCGCTAATAGCATTGTAGCGGAACTGGCTCGGACCAACGGATTGCTCCAGCAGAGCATCGGAGCGGCGGAAGGGAGTAGGACTGCTATAGAGCGGATGAATACTAACTTGGAGGCGTTCTTGGAGCAGCAGAGGGAGTTCCAGACCATCCTTCTTGAGGGGATCCGGAATGGAATCCGGATTACAGAGGCGGCTCGTTCTGAGGCCACTGACAAGGACGTTGATGAATCCGGATCCGGATCCGGATCGGGTGGGGACATGGAGATGGATGGCTGAGGATTTTCGGATCTGCCTTCTCTGCTACTAATGTACTTGTATATCCGCTTTGTATATTCATTGTATAGCAATAGGACCGGGTTTGTCTGGATATGCAGTGTGGAAATCCGAGACTAGATCGGACACGTTTCCGAGTTCCGTGGCTAGTAGCCATGAAGTCTCTTCGTCTGTTCCTTCGTATCCGGACCATCGGACGAGGTATAAGAGTTGGCATTGTCTTCTACGACGGTCCAGCTTAGAGTCTAGGATTTCGGATATCTCATATTCTGGTTCTCCGTCGACTTCGACCGGAGGTGGAGGAGGCTGGATCCGATTGGGAATTGTGTTCGGAACGGATGGTTCTAGCTGTGAGACATGGAAGACGGGGTGGACGGATTTCATGGATTCGGGAAGTCGGATGGTAAAGGAATGGGTACCCGGACGGGATATGACTTCAAACGGACCTAGATTCTTTTCCGAGAGTTTCTTAGACGGACGCGTGGACCGGAAGTACTTAGCCTTGACAAAGACTTGGTCTCTGATATTGATATCCGGAGCAGGTTTCCGTTTGGCGTCCGCAGGTCCTTGATATCTTTCTTGGGCGTGAGCCATTTCTTCTCTAAGGAATTGGTGAAGGTCGTCGAGGTCTATAGCATAGTCGCGAGCGCGGATGGAGGATAGATCGCGTTCCGGATGGACGGATATGTTCGGATGATAACCCTTATTAGCAAAGAAAGGCGATACTCCGGTAGTAGCACTTGGAGCGTTATTGTAGGCAAATTCTGCTAAGGGAAGTAGTTCCGACCAGTTGTCCTGTTGATAATTGCAATATATCCGAAGGTATTGTTCCAGGGTTTGGTTGGCACGCTCGGTTTGTCCATCCCCTTCTGGATGATATCCGGATGTGAAGTGGAGGACCATATCCAATGCTTTTCCTAAGGATCGGAAGAAGTGGGATACAAACTCTGTACCGCGATCCGAGGTGACATGGGACGGAACTCCGTGCTTGGAAAACACGTGAAGTAGGAATAGACGAGCGAGATCCGGAGAGGTAATGGTATCGTGAGTCGGAACAAATATTGCTTGTTTGGATAAACGATCTATGATAACGAGGATGGCTGTAAAGCCTGATGAGTCCGGAAGTTGCTCTATGAAATCCATGGATATGGAATTCCAAGGCTTTTCCGGTATGGGTAGTTGCTTGAGCAATCCATAGGGTTTATGTCTCGGAACCTTGGCTCGGGCGCAGGTAGTGCAGGACCGGACGTAGTCCTTAACATAGGTGCGTATACCCGGCCATGTATACTCGCGTCGGATGAGGTCTAGGGTTCGGTTTTGACCAAAATGTCCGGATAAGGGGTGATCATGAGTATTACGGAGGACGCGAAGTCGAAGGTTATCGGATTCTGGGACATATATACGGTTGTCGCAACGGAGGAAACCCCTATCGTCCACTGTCCATCTCGGATCTGAAGGTACCGGAAGATGGTTGGTTGCAATAGGGTCATTAGGAAGTGCGGTCAGGATGTCTTTCCGAAGGTCATCAATATCCATTAGAACAGCTGCTCTAAGAACCGGAGTTGCTAAGGTTGAGGCTCGTAGGGACGAAGCTAACTGTTCGGACGTGAATACCGGACGGAAGTTATGAGGGTTAACTCGAGCGTAGTCCTTATCCCCCTCTTTGGGATAGACGTCCCAGCGTCTAGTAAGGGAATCCGGTTTAACTCCAAGTTTTCCGGGACGGAAGCGGATGACAAGATTGAACTGATGGAGGAATTCCGACCAGCGGGCCTGACGGCGAGAGAGGAGTTTGGTAGTGGCGAAGTACTCAAGGTTCTTGTGGTCCGTGACAACATCTACAGGCTCGGCCGAGCCTTCTAGATAATGTCGCCAGGTCCGGAAAGCTTCGTATATAGCTAGAAGTTCCTTATCGTGGGTGTCATAGTTAAGTTCCGGAGCGGTTAGCGTTCGAGAGTAGAACGCTACCGGACGAAGCTCTGAGTCCGGACATACTATGGATAGTATTCCAGCTATAGCGTAGTCAGAGGCATCGGTTTCCACAACTATAGGAACATCCGGCATCCAGTGCGTAAGCACCGGAGCCGTAGTGAAGGCTTTCTTGAGTTCTTCGAAGGATTTCCGACATTCATCGGAAAAGTTCCACGGAGCATCCTTGCGTGTAAGCCGTGTTAACGGAACCACGATATCCGAGTAGTTGAATATAAACCGTCTATAGAAATTTGCGAATCCGAGGAAGGATTGGATATCCTTGACTTTCCGAGGTTCCGGCCAGTCAGTAATAGCTTGGATCTTATCGGACGACATAGTTAAGCCGTCCGGAGATAGGAGATATCCGAGATATTCAACGGAGGTGGAATGGAATTCGCATTTTTCGGGTTTGGCATAGAGACGATGTTTACAGAGTCGACGGAGTACTTCTCGGACGTGTTGCTTGTGGGACGCAAGGTCATGGGAATAGATGAGGATGTCGTCCAGATATACGATAACACATACATCCAGCATATCAGCAAACACGCTATTGACAAAGCGCTGGAATGCTGCTGGAGCGTTAGTGAGACCTTCCGGCATCACCAACCATTCATAGGAGCCATAGCGCGTTCGGAAGGCAGTCTTCCATTCGTCCCCTTCCGCTATCCGGACAAGATGATAAGCGGATCGGAGGTCGATTTTGGTATAAACTTTAGCACGGCTCGGAGAGTCTAATAGGTCGGCAATGAGGGGTAATGGATATCGGTCTTTCTTAGTGATCTGGTTGAGTCCACGGAAATCCACACAAAGGCGGAGGGATCCGTCCTTTTTCTTGACAAATAGGACCGGAGCTCCGTGAGGAGAGGATGAGGAGCGGAGGAGTCCAGAGGCAATATTTTCATCAAGAAACTTCCAGAGGGCTGCAAGCTCGACCGGGGATAGAGAATAGATAGTTCCGAGGGGAGGACTAGTTCCTTCTTCCAGATCTATGTTCAGATCATAAGGACGATGTGGAGGAAGCTGACCAGCCTTTCCCTTGTCGAAGACATCCGCAAACTCGTGATAGTCC